TTTACTAATAGCTAGTACGTTGCAACCACAGCGTATTTTATTTATTCATTTACTAATAGCTAGTACGTTGCAAGCACAGCGTGTTTTATTTATTTACTAATAGCTAGTAAGTTGCAAGCACGGCGTATTTTATTTATTTACTAATAGCTAGTACGTTGCAAGCATAATGTATTTTATTTATTTACTAATAGCTAGTACATTGCAAGCACAGCGTATTTTATTTATTTACTAATTGCTAGTACGTTGTAAGCAGAGCGTATTTTATTTATTTATTTACTAATTGCTAGTACGTTGAAAGCATAGCGTATTCTATTTATTTATTTACTAATAGCTAGTACGTTGCAAGCATAATGTATTTTATTTATTTACTAATAGCTAGTACGTTGCAAGCACAGCGTATTTTATTTATTTACTAATTGCTAGTACGTTGTAAGCATAGCGTATTTTATTTATTTACTAATAGCTAGTACGTTGTAAGCATAGCGTATTTTATTTATTTATTTATTTACTAATAGCTAGTACGTTGTAAGCATAGCGTATTTTATTTATTTATTTACTAATAGCTAGTACGTTGCAAGCATAGCGTATTTTATTTGTTTACTAATAGCTAGTAAGTTGCAAGCACAGCGTATTTTATTTATTTACTAATAGCTAGTACGTTGTAAGCATAGCGTATTTTATTTATTTACTAATAGCTAGTACGTTGCAAGCACAGTGTATTTTATTTATTTACTAATAGCTTGTACGTTGCAAGCATAATGTATTTTATTTATTTATTTACTAATAGCTAGTACGTTGCAAGCACAGCGTATTTTATTTATTTACTAATTGCTAGTACGTTGTAAGCATAGCGTATTTTATTTATTTATTTACTAATTGCTAGTACGTTGTAAGCATAGCGTATTTTATTTATTTACTAATTGCTAGTACGTTGAAAGCATAGCGTATTTTATTTATTTATTTATTTACTAATAGCTCGTACGTTGCAAGCATAATGTATTTTATTTATTTATTTACTAATAGCTAGTACATTGCAAGCACAGCGTATTTTATTTATTTACTAATTGCTAGTACGTTGTAAGCATAGCGTATTTTATTTATTTACTAATAGCTAGTACGTTGCAAGCATAGCGTATTTTATTTATTTACTAATAGCTAGTAAGTTGCAAGCACAACGTATTTTATTTATTTACTAATAGCTAGTACGTTGCAAGCATAGCGTATTTTATTTATTTACTAATAGCTAGTACGTTGCGAGCATAGCGTATTTTATTTATTTACTAATAGCTAGTACGTTGCAACCACAGCGTATTTTATTTA